TTATCAGCTGCAGTTATTCACTTAAGTACTGTGGCAAAAAAAATGTATAATGGGATTAGTGACCAAAATTACAATGGCATTGAAAAAAGTGACTGGTGACCATTTTTTACACTTAGCAACCATTTTTCTCACTTAGTGACCATTGCAGCATCCCCATGGTCACGTGATCAAAATTTTGATGTTTGGCACCAGATTCGTATTTATGATGGTTTCAGTGTCCTGGGGTCATGTAATTTTTGTTGCTCCATATACATTTTTTATTCAAGCCCCCCTCCCTCCCAGGTCAATGGTGTTCCTCTTTACCAATCTGAAAATCTGGTCACCTTACTCATGGAGGCTCAGAGAGGGGGGAAATGGGCCTCCCAGAAGCTCCAAAAGGCTGGAAACAGGCCCAGAGAAGGCAGTTTTCATCCTCCCAGTGGCTTAAGGAAAGCCTCCGGAGCCTGGGAAAGATGAAAACGCACACACATACACCGCCATGGTGCAGAGGCTGACTAGGCCACGCCCACCCAGCAACCGGGCAGAGAACCTGTTGCTGAAAATTTTGAAGTCCACCCCGCCCCAAACATTTTAAAAGTACAGTTACATAAGGGTGAAATTGTGAAGAAATATGGGTAGGCTATTTATATGTATAATTATTTCAGGATCTACAAATTTACCTGCAGGATTTTAATGTTGTAAAAAGCTGAGTTCAGTATTACATTTTAATTCAAGCACTTCCTAGGGGCTGTGCTGGATTAGCTATTTTGTGTAGAGGTTTGTGTAAATTAATTTCAAATCTACCTACAAATATCTAATTATACCCACTCTGTTTCACTCTAATACTATCTGAAACATTATAACTCCTCTTTTATTCTTTTTCCATCTTGATAAAGCAAGAATACTTAACATACAGCTTTTTGATCCACTAAAATACACTTTAGGTTACTTTTTAAAGGTTAATTAAAGGTTAAAGGTTACTTTTTAGGTTATTAATTAAGAGAATATTGTAATATTACAGATGAATAATGTAATAGGGACTCTGTGTACTTCATGAAAAGTGTATTTACTGTATTAAAGATATCGCATTCTTTACATTCAGTTTTGGGAAATTAATGGAATAAATAAACAGAAATGCATGCATGCTGAGAGATGAAATCTGAGTTCATATGTAATTATGTAAAACAAAAACATTTGCAGTTTTTTTATTTCTCCTCTTAATACATGAAAATCTATGGGAGGGAGGCAGTTTCTCCTACAGCTGTAATCACCAGATTTCTAGCTTTTTAAAGACCTTCTAAAAGCTGATCTTTGAAGCAAAACCTGTGGTCACTTTTCTGCCCTATTGATTGACTGAATTTATATAGCTACCCATTTCACTTGCATGAGACACTTGGTAGCTTATACAATTAAAACATAAGTCATCAACATATTCAACCATTAAAAATGGTTAAAAACTGTATTTGGTAAGAAAGGGCAGTTGCCTTTGAGCGCAAAGAGCTGAGATACTGTCATGGGAAACAATGAGGTTAAATGGTAGAATTTGCTGGAAAATCAAGAAATGCATTGTTAACCAGTGTGTGCCTTTTGTCCAGATCATATGTGATCTGCATGAACCAATAAGAAGCACAACTAATGTAGAGCAAACAACAATGATCAGTGAGTGTCCTTATGTATTTAAACTCAAACTTATACCGTAGCTGCATAGAGATTTTTTAAAAAGCTGTCTAGAGCTTCTTAAAAAGAATTGATTGCAGACACATCTTTTGGTGCTAGGCATAACATTAATAACATCAGGAATATTGAATACAAATTACATTTGGAACCAATTTTGCTGTATTTCAGAACCCAAGAATGTGTCTTTTGTAAATGTTTTTTTCTTCCAATTTCATTTTCATTACACTATAAATACATTCTAACTATAAATATACCATTAGGAAAGAACTTTAAAAGTGTAAGCAATGATAATTAAAAGAAAGAAAATCTAACATGGTATTTTGCAACCTTCGCTAAATAAAAACTAGCATGGCTGAACATACAGAGAGACATGAGAGAGAGACTTGATTTTAGCCAGAAGGTCAAGAAGTAAAACAGCTGTAGGACTTTCCTAACAGAATTCATGATTTGTATTAAAAAGGGAAACTATAGTACCTCCCAAAAACTTTAAGGACTTTAGAAACATTTACAGAGTGGATATATTATAGAGGATAAATTTTAGAATTTTCTTTTGAGTCAAACTCCACTTCTTTTGATTTCCCAAGGAAAAAAAGATACAGAGAAAGTAAATTGGTAGGGATTTCCTTCGAGTCTAAATAATATATTAAAGAATATATCACTTTTCTTAACAGAGGCAAAAAAAGGAGGACCTACTGCAAGATTCCCCACTCTGGGCCTGGAGGTCCAGTCTTAACAAATATAGAAAACAAGACTTTAGACATAAAATTGTATTTCATGTAATTAAAGTTTGCTACTGAAGAGATGATGTCATCATTTGATTATCTCAAGCAACTTCATATCATATCAATCACATAGTAAGCAAAGTTGAGACCTAGGTAAATACTTAGTACCTACAAGAGAGATAAGAGTCACTTTTTAAAAGTGGCTCTTATCTCTTATTAAAGACATATACATTTCAAATAACAAACCAAATAACAACCATTTCACAGTGAATATACCAACAGGACTTTTTAAAGGGAGAGGGGGGGGAAGTGTCATTCTATCAACAAACTTTTTGAACCCTAAAAAAGCAGGTGTCTCTGTGGCGCAATCGGTTAGCGCGTTCGGCTGTTAACCGAAAGGTTGGTGGTTCGAGACCACCCAGGGACGATTATCACTGTTTTCATGTGTAGAACCATAAAAAAGCGCCTCTGTTTTATCGACTGAGGGATTGATTTGAGTGCATCAAACACACAAACTCTACGCTCCGCTTATTGAAAACGTGCATGAAATTAAAAACCATACGGTGCAGGAATTTTATAAAATCTGCTCTACAGCGGTTTGAAGGGTGATTCTTTTCAAACCCCTTTCCGTGCCTCGCCTTCTTCCTTGCAACACCCACGTGTTCTTTGCAAAATGCTTTACTGAAAGAACCCCTCTCTCTCTGCCCAAGAAGCAGCATAAGTTACGTCTGCACTGTTGATTCTCGCCACTTTTCCAGCCGCAGCAGTCCTTCCAAAGAGGAGGCCCGCAAGGGGGATTCGGGTGCCTATTCTTGCCTGGCCAGAGCAAGCAGCCTTCCCACTCCAAATCCCCCCTTCGCAGCTCCTCTCCCTGGTCGCAGGACTGCAGCGCTTTCCCCCAGTAAGGGAGGGGCTCCTTCTCAGTAGCCGTCTCCTCTTCTTCTTTGGAGTCTGGCAAACATTCTCGCAGGGCGAGAGGGCTGCGGCCTCAGCCAGATTTATTCGCCTTCTTCCTGCAGGGCAGTGGAGCTGGGCATTGCCAGAGAGAACAGCAGCGCCTGACTTCCCAGCGAGAAACTGAGTCGAGCAGCAGCGCCCAGGCAAATAATCAGTTACAGATTCCCCCCCCCCACACACCCCACTCTCGGTGGGCATCATACTATTTCTCTTTTTAAAAATAAAAAAAAAACTTGGCAGAGGGAAGACAACGCTGGGACGGATGCCAACAGGAGAAGCAATTATGTAACAGCATCGGGAGGGAGGCAGATCCAAAATTGTACTTGGCTTTTAGTTTTGTGTTCCCTTCTCCTCCCCTCCCCCTCTTCTAGTTTGTCTGCCGGAATAAGCTTGGATCTGGCTGCACTTTGCGCCCTGGAGTTGAATTTCTTTTCAGGGCCCGCCCGGTTGCAACATCTCCCTTCCTTCCCGCCGCAGAGCTGCTGAACGTCCTGGGAAAGAGGGCTCTTTTCACCGAATATTGTCTAGCCTTTTCCCAGTCCTCTTTCCCTTGTAATAAATGCGGGGGACCCGCGAATCCTCCTCTGTCATAAATTGCCTTCCGATTCTAATCTACTCTTCCATCCCATTTTATAACTCTGCCGTGATTGTAAGAGAGGAGGCAGGGATTTCTTGCCAACGTCGAATTCATAATTCCCAATCTTTGGAAAAAACTCAGCTGCTCTTCCAAAATGTTTCTGGCACTCGGGATTACCCACACAACCCAGCCTTTTTTTCCTTCCCTTTTGTCAAGCTGCCTCTTAATTTTCTCCCTCTTTGGTTTAAAACAAAGATGCATATGCATTTAAAATCAGGACCTGTCTTTAAAATAGAAACCTACCTGTTACAAAAATGCATCTTAACTGGGAAGGGGGGGGGGAATCTTAAATATTTTAAAAATTAAAAATGAAAACTTTGGCTCAGAATCTTTTTTTAAATATTTCAATCTGTACAAAATGGCTTCATGTTTCCAGAATCTGCCCAGAAAGAAGATATACTACATTTTCAAAAAATCTATTCAGATGTACTGTAACTTTATAGAATTTATATATTTAATGGCAGATGGTCTGCAAAACTTCCTTAACTGACTCAAATATACCTTTCATAATGGTAGTGTTTCTTGCTCATCTCAGTTTGCTCAACCAAACTGCTCCAAGATCAAAACAGTAAACTTTGGTTAGTAGATAACAAATTATTAAAGCACTATTTAATAATACCTTGTTATTAAATGCACTATATTGCTTTGTATTGTTGGCAAGAAAATTACATGAATGTGCCTAAGAAGGCACAGTGGTTCCTCCCAGAGAAGTATTTATTTATCCCCCTTTACTTTTTAGGTAAAAGAGAGTCAGCTACTTGTGACATATAAGTAACTCTCTTGCTTCCAAATTGCAGGAATGGAACAGGTGCCTGGCCATGAGAGGAGGCTGCCATAAGCTTTCTGAAGTCAAACACCAGTTGGAGAAGATTCATTCAAATGCCTAATTTGATTTATATTATCCCCCCTATTCATAAAGTGCTGTGTCCTTTCTGAATTCCTAAAGGCAAACTCACTTAAAATATGTTACACTCAAGGGCACTGCATTTTTTAATTCAAACATGTAAGAGTCAAGCCTAAACATGTATTTTCCAGGAACTATTAAAACCTAAAAGTAGATGAAAAATGCTTTTGGATGGAATTCATTTTCATTTTTATAGCAGATATTTCATCCCTATTTTATACAGGACTACGGGTTTATTTTATGACTCTAATAAATGCCTGCAAAGAATGTGGCACTTTAGAGAAATTGTGCAAAACAGTCAGCTGCTGAAGTGTTCACCTTTCTTGATTGACTGACTTTGGAGAGAAAATGCTGGTCTCTTGACAGGATTATATTCATATTTTTCTGGAGCATGTGTAGCATTATAGGACATGGAACAGAATGCCTAATATGAAGTTCTGAAATGTTTAAAAGCTACTTATACACGAGACTTCTTCAAAGTCTTTGTTTCTTGTGTCCTTTGATTCATTTCCATTGTTATCCCTCATCACATTTTCCATCTGTCCACTTCTAGCTAGACACACACCCAAAATTCACCCCTCCTGACCTCTTCTTTCAGGTGTCTTGGTTTCCAAACCAAAATCTCAAAAGACTTGAAATTCTTCTCTGCTTCCTGATTTTCTGACACAGGAATACCATCCTTGCAAATTCTCACACTAGGCAAGGATGCAAGGGATGAAGATTGTACAGCAGTCATCCACAAAAGAGGCATTCAGTTCTCTATACTGCTCTTAAGTGCACTTAAGATCCCAAGCAAACAACTTTAAATAACCTTGATCAGCTCTGCCTAATTTGGTGTCTTCTGGATGCAGAACAGCTGCATATGATGGGAATTGTAGGTTAACCCATTGAAAAATTGGGCTAATCGAGCTGATCTAAGCTTGAGGCTTCTTCTCAATTGTGTTATTCTCTCCCTCTCTCTCCCCCCCATATGTTTTACATATGAGCTAAAGGAGATCCTGAGTTCTAGTTCCCACAAATTGGGTGTGGACTTGGGAGGAATGGATGACTTCAGACAGGTTGGAAGGTTGCTGACCAGCAAGGGTTTAGTCTTATTAGCATAGTAACCCCCAGCATTAAATAGCTCTGCATATCCCACATCTGCCGCCTTCTCATTCTAGCTTTCCCTTTCCAGGAAGAAAAGGAAAGGAAGGGAAGGGAAAGGAAAGGAAAGGAAGGAAAGGAAATGGGAAGGAAGAAAGAAGAAAAGTGAAAAGTAGGAAAAAAGTATGGAAAAGGAGAAGGAAGGGAGGAAGAGGTAAAAAAAGGAACAAAGGAAGGGAATAGAAAAGCTGAAAAAAGTATGGTAAAAAGAAAAGGAGGAGAAAAGGAAGAAAAAGGAAACAGGAAAGAAGAAATACAGAAAAAGGGGAATGAAGGAAAGAGCAGAAGGAAGAAAAGAGGAAAAAAGAAAGAGGGTGGAGAGGAGGAGAAGGAAAGAGGAAATGAGAAGGGAGCAGAAGGCGAGAAGTGGGCGAGAAAGGAGTAAGAACCTTGGGAAGAAGGCAGTTTCTCTCTGCCAATCCTCCCCGCTGGAACGGCGCAGCCATTCTCCCTATTTCTCCGGCCTCGAAGAACCTTAGAGGACCGTGACTGAAGGCCGAGCATCGGGGGTTCCCGAAGCTGGCAGCGACCGCGATGCAGAGGAGAGCGCCCTAGCGAAAGAGCGACTCAGGGTTAATTCGATCGGAAGAGTCACTAGGGAAGCTGGTTGCGGGGAGTGGTATCTATTTCTCTCCAAAGTTCCGAGCCTTATTCAAAGTAAATTATCGCTCGGGCTGCGAAATCCAGGAACAACTTCCAACTGACGGTGGATCACCGCAAGTCGCCAGTCACTCCCTTGTCCTGCCTCCTGTTGAGACGGGTGGAAGCAGGCAGTTATCAATGCAAGCGGTTTAATCAAATGTCCTCTCCATCCATGAAAAGACGAAAGGAAATATTTTAGACGAGAGAGCATTGTACTATGAAATACATTGTTGTGATTGGTGGTACAATCAGCCAGATGTTTAGAATTGGCATTTTGTCCACTTATCCAGTCTTTCCCAGGAACCTAGGATAAGGCAAATGTTATTTAATAATATTAAATGTATTACTATTACTGTGCATGTAATATACAACAAAATTCACAGCCAGATGAAAACTTAATAATTTAAATCCTAACCAAACATTTCAAAAAATATTATGAAAAAAAATAAAATAAAACTATTTCCCTGCATTGTTATGGTACCAAATGGTTTGCAGGAAAAGTCATGGCAAAGCAAAGCAAAGGCCTGGTAGAGCTCTTTTCAGAAATACAATGCAAATAACTGGGTCTTCAATTAAGTATCTCTAAAATGAACTAATCACATTGAGTATTATTTTCTTTCAGGCCTGCCAATGTATGAGAGAAGCTAACAGAGCACAGAACCAGCATTTCCTGCAGCATTCATTATCCTACTCAATTTCATAAACATTTTTTAATATATTATGAATCCTATGGAAAAAAATCTGGGAGTTTATGATAAACAGTTTCTCTAACAGTAAGCAGGATCTGCTAATTTTGGAATGCTTCTATTCTGTTATTTGAAAGATTCAGTTAGCAAAGTATAATGATTGAAAGGAGCAATGCAGCTCTTCAAATTAAGTATTATAGTGCTAAATTAATATTAACAGAATTATAATATGAATTTTCTCTCATTCTACAATTGTTGGTCATGATATGATATATTTTTATTTCTATACATCCACACAGTTGGCCCATAAGAATAAAAGCCATTTTAGTATAAGTCATGCCTGTGAAACCTGGTTTACGTAACCATGATTCACTGAATTGGGCGTTGGTTCCTACCTGATATGCCCTTTCTCAGGACAGTGGAGACATAATCTAGGCATGGGTATGACTCCGTCAGGA